TTAAATTGTCTGTGATACTCAGAACCCTTTACAATTCAGATGAATGGATTTGGTAGTACAGGAAAGGGTGTAATTGAAATTTATAGGTTTATTTGGTAAGAAAGCGTCCTGTTCTCAATGGCTCAGATGTAGGTACAAAATGTTCTGAGCCAACAGGGTTTATTAGGACACTTTCCAGTGATAAGCAGGGTTTCTCTGAGAAGGACACTGGTGTTGCTCAGAGCAGTGTGATAAGGTAAGTAAGAGTTATGGCTTTGCTATTTGCTGTATTTCCTTCCCTCACTGCCTGTTTCCATGCAGTTACCCTGGATGTGGGATGGATGCAAAGAAGATTGTATTTAACTTCCTGGCAATAGGTCGAGGAAGTGGGCATCTATCAATATAATGGTAAAGAGAAAACATTCACCAAAATGCATGAATAAGACACATACAGACTGGCAGGAGCAAAGGACAAATAAGACTTTGATCCACTGGCACAGCAACAGAATGAGGGATAAAAGAAAACAGCTTCCGGGGTTATCAGAAGCTAGCATATTTTATAGATCATGACAGGTTAAAATTGTCAGATTTTCTGTAATCAACAAAACCTCATGACTGTTTCAGCTAATTTACAATCCTGCATACTGTTATGCTGGTCGGGACTTGTTAAATTTCCACAAAGTGCAAAAGTTAATGTCACTGTGAGCCCTGAAGAAATACAACTATTATTCATAGCTGGGCATAGTGGCTCATGCCTGTAATTACATTGTTTTGGGAGGCTGAGGCAGAAGAATCAAATATTTGACATCTCCCTCCCTCCCAGTGAAGACAGCTGGGGTCAGGTCAGCCTTGCTGCCCCCTGAAAGGCACAGGCTGCCCTCATGATGGAGCCCCTGTCCACGTCCATTCCACACTTGGTTGCCTCATGCCAGCCACACTAAATTTGTCTCAGTGTTTTGGAAACACTGGTTATTTCCCATCTTGTCGCTTTGTTCACAGTAATGTCTCTCCGGCATAAATGGCCCCTTTCCTGCCTGCTTCTTGCACATGTCTATCAGTTTCCTACAATTGCTATAACACATTGACAAAAACTGGCTGGCTTAAAACTGTGGGAAGTTCTTCTGTCACTGTTCTGAAGTCTGAGTGGAGGCGGTGGCAGGGCCCATTCCCTCTTGGGTATGTGGTTCTTCAAATATAAGATGCTGACGATTGTAAGATGCATTATTATTTTATATAGTACCTAAGAGAGAAAAAGCTGCTAGGTGTGCTGGCTCACGCCTGTAATCCCAGCACTTTGGGAGGCCGAGGTGGGCGGATCATGAGGTCAGGAGATCGAGATCCTCCTGGTCAACATGGTGAAACCCTGTCTGTACTAAAAATACAAAAATTAACCGGGTATGGTGGCACATACCTGTAGTCCCAGCTACTCAGGAGGCTGAGGCAGGAGAATCGCTTGAACCCGGGAGGTGGAGGTTGCAGTGAGCTGAGATCGTGCCACTGCACTCCGGCCTGGCTACAGAGCAAGACTCTGCCCCTCCACCCCCAAAAAAGAAAAAACTCTGCCAACTAACTTGTGTCATGCTATCAACTTTAAGATGTGTCCCGATTTCATTTTATGTGAAAAATGTGCAGTTAATGAAATGCAGCGTAATCTGTAGAAAGTCAGATGACTTCCACTCTCTAGAATCACAAGATTAGGATATGCGCATTGGCAAAACTGGTCAAGCACAAAGAGGTTAAGACAGCCTAGAAAGACCTTGCAAATGTGACTTCTACCTGCTTACTGGGTTCTGCCATTTTGAAGCACTCACACAAGTCCTGGAAGGCAGAAAGAAGCAGCAGCCAAAGTCCGACGGCATCTGGTGTTTTCTGCTGACAGCAAAAGTAATAGAGGTGGCGGGCACAGCCTCTGGCTTGCCAGGTGACCACAGGCAGATGTAGGCTACACTCACTGCACCACCTGCTGTGCAGTGGTTACTGGGCTCGTGTCCAGGGCACTGTGTGGCTGTGGCTTCCCGATTCTGGCCATCATAGCTGTGGATGGAGGTATGCTTTTGAAAGCGAGGATTTCTGATGTAGCCTTCCTGATGGGGGAGGTGCAGACACTCCTGTGCTGGGTCAGGTGCACACTATTCTTGGAGCAGTTCCTAGAGGTCATGTCAAGATTCCACCTTCAGGCCTTTCCTGTGTTTTCTAAGCAACAAAGGCTCTTCGTCTCATTTCTGCTTCAAAGGCATAGAACAGCTTCTGTTGCTGGCACTGAGCTCTGACTAATACAGTGTTTGAAACCAAAGATGTTTGTAGCAACTGAGACAAGACAGGAGTATTTGGATGGATTAAATTATGCTGAAGTCGCAACCCCCACATCTCATCAGCTTAACTTCGGTCTGTCATTGACAGCGTCCACGGCTTTGCCCTAGGCAGACATTCCGGGACTCAGACTGATATGTTATGTTGGTATATGACCCCGAGGCTCTGCAGCAGGAGAAGGGAGCTGAGGAATTAGGTGCTGGAGGCCAATTAACACAGAAAACGCAGTTGCATTTCCGTACGCCAACAACAAATACAAAATCCCACCGTGCATATATAACACGTTTTCTTTCTGCGCTCATCTGTTCATCCACACTTAGGTTGGTCCCATATCTTGGCTACTGTGGAGTGTAGACATCTCTCGGATGCACTGATTTCATTTTCTTTGGATATGTACCCAGCAGTGGGATGGGTAGATCAAGCTGTAGTTTTATTTTTAGCTTTTTGGGGAACGTCTAACTGTTCTTCATAATAGCCATTACTCCCAACTGCTCTTCTGGACGCTGGGTGCCTCCTCTTTTCCTGTGGTTCACACATGTAGAGCATCCAAGGCTGGGAGAGGAGAAAACTTGGGGTGCTGAAGGCAGCGAGCTTTTTGGTATTAAAGGGGAGTTGTGTTCTCAGAAATTGGCGTGTCTTCACCTTCTGGCTTATCCCCCTTCAGCAAGCACAGGTCCCTTGGCATGGATTCTGAGGAACACCTTGGTGAAGAATGTGGACTCCCAGCTCAGACCAACTTCTGCAACCTTAGCAAAGCTGGATAGTCCATGTGCTGCACTCTTCTGATCATGTGTTACAATCTACGAATGGCAGAGCCATTGGCACTCAAACACCTGATACTTTCCCTCATGTGATCCCTGCCCCAGAGACAGGAAATCCTCTCTTGGTCTTCTAGGCCACAGTTTGGGAAGGTGTTTATCCCTGGGACCAGGGTTTCCAAATTCAGCAATAGCTACTGATACGGTTTGGATATTTGTGCACTCCAAATCCCATGCCAAGTTGTAATCCCCAGTGCTGGAGGCAGGGCCTGGGGGGAGGTGACTGGATCAGGGAGTGAATCTCTCATGAATGGCTCTGCGCCATCCCCTTGTGATGAGTTAGTTCTCGCTGTGAGTTCCTGGGAGACCCGGTTGTGTAAAGTGTGTGGCACCTGCCCCCTCGCTCTCTTGTTCCCACTCATGTCGTGTGAGACGCGGGCTCCCCGCTTACTTCTGCCAGCACTGTAAGCTCACTGTGGCCCTCCCCAGAGGCAGATGCCAGCACCATGCTTCATGTCCAGCCTGCAGACCAAGGGCCAAGTGAACCCCTTTCTTTGTCAGTTACCCAGTCTCGGGTGTTCTTCCGTCACGATGCAGTTGCCCTAATACCATCACTCCCACGTCCTTGTTTCACAAAAGGCTCTTGTTTTGGTCCCGGCCCAGGGAAAGACGTGAAGATATAGCCTCACAAAAGCCAATGTGGAACTAATGGACTTATTCGTACATGCCTGACTTAAAAAAAATATTAGGAACACCGATTTCCATGTAAAAGATACTCAGTAAATATTTCTAGAACTGAACTATAGGTAGGCTATCTAGCCCCACCTATTAATCCTAACCTCTGGCAAAGTGGCTTCAATCTTGTGACTGCTTAAGAAGCCTTAATGAGATTGAAGAATTTTCCCAGGAACAGATAAGTTTTCATGTGTTCTAGTTATCTACCTCAGTGAACACTGACACTTCCATAACACAGTGTTCCCACGCCATCAGCCTGAACTACAGGAGGTGGTATTTCACTGATAACCCGTTGAGGACTTGGGGCCAGGGTCAAGCCTGACTGACTCTCCTGTGCTCAGTGCCCCTCCTCCTCCCTCCCCTGCTCTGCTGTAGCCTAGGGAAAGATACGCCCCATGACTGGGATTAGATGAACGCTGAAAGGCAATCTTTTCGGCTCCCTGCCTGTGTAGGGTGGTAAAGGAGGGGTGAGGTGTTTCCCCTCTGAGTCATTTCTCTGTGGCTTCACCACAGAATCCCACTTATTCAGGGAGGATTATATGGGTGTGTCTTAGGCTGTTTTCTGTTGCTGTAACAGGATAGTTGAGACTGAGTGACTCATAAAAAATACAAAGTTGTTTGGCTCAGTCTTGGAGGTTTGAAAGTCCCAGATCATGGGGCCCTCATCTGGTGAGGACATTTGTGCTGTGTCATCCCATGGCAGAAGGCGGGTAAGAGGATGAGTGAACAAGAGAGGGCTGAAATGGCTTTTACAGTAAACCCACTCTCAGGATCATGGACGCATTCCTGTGATAATGAGGTCAGTGATTCATGAGAGCAGGGCCATTATGACCTAGTGACCTCTTAGAGAGCACATCTCTGTACACTGTTGCATTGGGGATTCTATTTTCAACACGTGGCCTTTGGGGGACACATTCAAACCACAGTGAAGTGTTCAGCGTTTTATCTCCATGCGGTATTAACATTTCTCCCATAATCCTGGGTTACCCTTTCCTCATGAACCACAGAGTCCTTACTGAACTCTGCTCTATTTGATTAAATGTCCTGTCAGAATTTTGGGGTTCTATCCAACTCTTTGTGCTTTTGCTGTGAATAATTACTTTTTTTCTGTCCAGTAAAATGTTTTTAAAACAAATACTCCCTTTTCTCAGATGATACTTGATATGGAAGGGCTCAAACATCCTTTATTCCTCCGATAAGTAACTTGCTTGGTATGGGAAAGAAGAAATTCTGTATCCCTCATCATCCTCTCTGGTGATCTCTGCTGAGAAAACCTGCCAAGATTGCCTTCAGTGCAGCTAAAAGGGTGGTGCTGAGAGCTGAGACTTGCTCTGAGAGGAGAACGTTCTTGCTCAGTTTAAGGCCTCCGTTTTTAGATGGCTGGTGGACTGAGGCCAAGCTCAGCTCCTCTCCATGTGTGCCTCTCCAACAAGGCCACTCATTTTATCAAAGCCTGCAAGCTGAGAAGACTGCAGAATTGGCTAGCATGACGGAAGTGACAATCTTGTATTTCGTAATGATGGAAATAGTTTTTTTTTTTTTTTGCCTTACAGTATTCTATTGGTTAGAATAAAGATCACAAGGACTAGCCATGGTGGCTCATGCCTGTAATCCCAGTACTTTGGGAGGCCAAGGCGGGTGAATCACCTGAGGTCAGGAGTTCAAGACCAGCCTGGACAACATGGTGAAATCCCGTCTTTACTGAAAATACAAAAATTATCTGGGCTTGGTGGCAGGCACCTGTAATCCCAGCTACTTGAGAGGCTGAGGCAGGAGAATCACTTGAACCCGGGAGCTGAAGGTAATAGTGAGCCAAGACCATGCCTGGGTGACAGAGGGAGATTCCATCTCAAAATAAAAAAGACACAAGTACCAGCCACACTCAAGAAGAGAGTTTTACCCAAAGGCATGAGTACCAGGAGGCAGGGATCTAGGGGAACATCTTGCTATCTGTCCACTTCTTGTCTCATGACCAGAGAGCTCCCTTGATTCATAAGACAAGGAGCTCCATTTTGTCTCGTTAGTAGTCTTCCAGGAACCTTAGAAAATAAAAAATGTGCTGGGAAACCAGAAACAATTATCTTTCCAATTACAAAGGGAAGATGGACTCTGAAAATGATAGGCATGACATCAAATCTAGAAATGTTTTGGGATAATGTTTAATGCAATTTAATGAGAAGAGGGCCAGGGAGCACGAGGTCCTGCTATGGCTTCGCTCACAATGAAATTGGCCCATTCTCTTTCACTACTAAATTCCTAGACTGCTGAATCAGAAGTAGAGGAGAATCAGTGTCTCTTACTTTAGCCAAGCATTTACTGCAAAATACAGATAAATATTGTAAGAACATTAGACACATTTTTAACTGGTTGAATTGCAGACTCCAGGAAGTTGACATCAATGAAAATAAAATTTTCTTGTGACTTGACACAGAACATCTCTGTTTAGTGCAAATTTTAGTAATGGAATATAAAGGATATTCTCATCAGATTTATAGCTGACACAATGTTGAGATCAATGCAACCAAATGGATAGAATCAGGCAGAGTTCTGACCTTGACCAGCCAGAGGGATGAGTTGAAAGTAAGATAAATTATAATTGTGTGTTTTATAATTGGCTGTAAAATACCAATGGCACAAATACAGGTTGCAAGAAGCACAACATAATAGAAACATTAAAGAAAACATAAGTTAGGCATTTTATCTAGCAGAAGTTCCTTATTAGTTGGGAATGTTGTTTGAATGATGTGATTTTTTGACCTGTACAGTAGAAGCTATGATGATAAAGGGTATGCAGGGGAGGGCATCAACTTCATCTAGGGAGGTCACAGAAGGAGCAGTGTGGCTGGAGCAGGTGCATTTAGGATAAGTAAGAAATCATTAAACTGCCAAAAACTAGGTGGGATAGAGAAAGATGTTCCAGAAAGAGGCAACGGCTGAAAGAAAGGCAAGAAAACAGACATTCATCCGTGATTTCAGACAAGTTTTTCTCACAGGATTCAAGAAAACAAGACAATGAGAATCAAAAAATGAAATGGGCCTTTACAGGAGACACAGATAATAAACGCAGGAGTAGGTCTTCCTGAGAAACGATGTTACATGTGTGCTTCGGATGAGGTGTCAAGCTTTGTTCAAGAAATTTTCAGCAAGTTATTGTTATGGGATTTATGATGAAAGGAATGGTGTGAAAGTTAACTTCGGTCCTCTGGGAAAATTAGTGTTTGGAATCACTAGCCTAATGACACTTTTATACCTTGTAAAATAAGTCTGGTGCAACTATCAAAGACATATTTGCATACTTTTTTTTTAACTTTCAAGTTCAGGGGTACATGTTCAGGATGTTCAGGTTTGTTACGGAGGTAAACGTGTGTCATGGAGATTTGTTGTACTGATTATTTCATCAACCAGGTATTGATTATTTCATCACCCAGGTATGAAGCCTAGTACCCATTAGTTATTTTTCCTGATCCTCTCCCGCTTCCCACACTCCACCCCGTATGTGGCCATGTGTTCTCATCATTTAGCTCCCACTTATAAGTGAGAACATACAGTAACTGGTTTTCTGTGCCTGTGTTAGTTTGCTAAGGCTAATGGCCACTATTGCCATCCATATTCCTGCAAAGCACATGGTCTTTTTTATGGCCAAATAGTATTCCATGGTGTACAGGCACCACATGCTCTATATCCAGTCTATCGCTGATGGGCATTTGGGCTGATTTCATGTCCTTGCTATTGTGAATACTGCTGCAATGAACATACACATGCACGTGTCTTTGTAAAATAAAAATTTATATTCCTTTGGGTGTATATCCAGTACTGGGATTGCTAGGTCGAATAGTATTTCTGACTTTAGGTCTTTGAGGAATCACTACACTGTTTTTCACAATGGCTGATCTAATCTATGCTCCCACCAACCATGTATAAGTGTTCACTCCCCTCTACAACCTTGCCATCATCTGTCATTTTTGTGACTTTTCAATCGCAGCCATTCTGACGGGCGTGAGATGGTATCTCACTGTGGTTTTGAGTTGCGTTTCTCTAATGTCAGTGATGTTGAGCTTTCGTTCATGTTTGTTGGCTGCATGTTTGTCTCCTCTTGAGACGTGTCTGTTCACGTCCTATGTCCTTTGCCCACTTTTTATTGTGGTTGTTTGTTTCATTTGTGTAAATTTGTTTAAGTTCCTTACAGATGCTGGATATTAGACCTTTGTCAGATGCATAGTTTGCAAAAATCTTCTCCAATTTTGTAGGTGGTCTATTTACTCTCTTGATAGTTTCTTTTGGCACTCTTAATTTTTTAACTTAGAAATCAAATGTGAACAATGCTGAAGAAAAAATTCAAACTCATTTAGTATGCAAATATTTATGTATGATTTTCCTGTAAGACAGGCCTGCAGAGACATGAAAGAATCAGAAAAAAACTCAATGGATTGATTTCAATTTCATTTTGAAATCATAGGCAGCTGTAATCTCCACCCCACCCATCTTGTATTTGTTGGAAATAAAGAACGCGGCAGCCTTGTCTCCTACTGGACTCTCAGTGAGGATGCAGAAGGAAAGACGGAGTCCAGTTAGCTGGGCTGTGGGCAGTGATGGATCTGAAGCACAGCCGTTCCGTGAGGCTGAATGATGGACACTTCATGCCAGTGCTAGGATTTGGCACTTATGCTCCTGAACACGTAAGTGGACCCCAGGGGGTTGCAGGGTCCTGCATTTTTTGCATTAAGAGGGTGATAAGTTGTTGACTCTGAGGGTTTAGAGATTGATTTTTTTGGCAAATTCTTTTTATTATTATTGCCATTATTATTATTGTGATCTAACATATATCAAATGATTTCATATATTTTAAGTGTTTTCCATGCATTATCTTATTTAATGCATGGAAAAAAATATCTTATTTAACAACCGTCCTTGGTAAGTACTCATGATTTCTTACATTAAAAAAAATCCCATGCTGAGGCTGCTCTCATCTTCCAGGCTGCTCAGAGCTGCTCCATTCTTGGTTAGAAATGTGAAGGGCCAAGGGCCCAAAGGGAACTGGAAGCCCGCATGAATACTTGCTGGCAGCTTTGCTGTGAGGTTGTTGGGGCTGGAAGTATTTGCCAGGGAGCTTTGACCATCCAAAACTTTTGTCATGTAAGGAGCCACTGTGATTCACAAAATTAGGTAATTGGATGGGAAGGCTTAGGAGGCACAAGATCCCAGTAAGGGCTCAGTCGTGTTTCCCACCCAACGCACCAGCCACCTGTCCACTCAGTTCCCTGCAGGGAACTTGAAGTGCCACGCTCTGGTCACAGTAATGTAAAGGCGTCATGGGTTGCTTTAGAGGAATTGCCCCCTAAATGAGAGACCAATGGATGGGCTCAATCTTGGTAGAACTCTATCATGAGGTATCACTAGACAGCAGCTGCCGGAAAGGGTCAGCAGGTTTTCAATGGCATGATTACCGTTTCATCTGTTAGGCATAATGTGTGTCTTACATGGGTTATATGTAACATTTATTACTGTTAGAAAAGATAGAAAAGTGCCATAGAGAATAGAACAAGATTCCCATAACCCCCTCATTTACCAGAATAAATTGTAATATGTGTATGTGTTTAATATTCAGACATTTCAAGTGCCCTAAATGAAAAAGAAGCTTTCTTAATACTCTAACTGGTGTTTTTATCTTAAGTGACGCAGGAATGAGAATTTTTGTTCCTGCGTGTGTGTTGTGCTGTCTTTTGTCGTGCTGTTCTAGGAAGCTTGCTAGGTGAGAATCTCAGTTAAACTAGCCCGTTTGAAATTTGAGGCAGGGTGTGTACATGTTATTGTCCTAACTTTGCAACAACACCAGCCTGGTGAGGTGAGGTCCGTGTCCTGAGTGAAACCAGGCCAACTATTGACTGGAACCCTTACTAATAACATGAACAGTTGATTAACACCTATTTTGCATGTTATATGTATGGTATACTGTATTCTCATAATACAGTAAGCTAGATAAAGGAACTCTTAATAAGAAAATCATAAGGAAGAGACAATCTATTTGCTATTCATTAAGTGGAAGCAGATCATTACAAAGGTCTTCATCCTTGCTGCCTTCACACTGTGTAGGCTGAGAAGGAAGAGGAAGTGGAAGGGTTGGGGCTGCTGTCCCTGGGGTGGCAGAGGCAAAAGAGGTGAAGGAGGGGGAAGGAAGGCAGGAGAAGCAGGCACACTTAGTGTAATTTTGATTGAGAAAAATTTTTGTATATGTGGGACTGTACAGGCTTAAACGCCTGTGTTGTTGAAGGTCAGCTGTATATGTGTATGTGTGTGTATATATATATATATATATAGTGTGTGTGTGTGTGTGTATTTATGTATCAATTGAACTGTCCTTTCTATTGAGTGCCTTAGAAAATTTCTCCCAGTATCAGAAGTTTTCCTGTTTGTTATGACTATTATTATTTTTTAGATGGAGTCTCGCTCTGTCACCCAGGCTGGAGTGCAGTGGTACAATCTCAGCTCACTGCAACCTCCTCCTCCTGGGTTCAAGTAATTCTCTGCCTCAGCTTCACGAGCTTGCCACCATGCCTGGCTAAATTTTGTATTTTGAGTAGATGGTTTCACCATCTTGGCCAGGCTGGTCTTGAACTACTGACGTCATGATCCACCTGCCTCGGCCTCCCAAAGTGCTGGAATTACAGGCATGAGCCATCACACCTGGCCTTCCTGTTGGCTGTTATTGTACAATTGATTTATACTGACTGAGATATAATTTATCCATGCTCCAGAGTGAGGCTTATTCCACTACTTTATTTGGAAATAGAAGCTTGCAGGAGTTTAGTTGCTGTCCTCAGAGTATGCAGGTCTACCATGGAAACCACATGATCAAAAGGGGAGCAGAAGGCCAGCAGAAACTGTGAAAATGCTATTGGGTAGCAAAGACGTGGGCTCAACCTAAATGCCTGTCCATGGTAGACTGGATAAAGAAAACATGGTACATAAACACCATGGAAAATAACAAAAAAGAAAAGAACTAGATCACATCCTTTGCAGCAACGTGGATGAAGTTGGAGGCCATTAGCCTAACCAAACTAGCCCAGAGGCAGAAAACCAAATACCACATGTTCTCACTTACATGTGGGAGCTAAACAACACACATGGATACTGGGAGGGGCGACAGGCACTGGGGCCTATCTGAGGTTGGAGGTGGGAGGAGGGAGGGGCTCAGAAAAACTCTCTATCAGGTACTATGCTTACCCAGGTGACAAAATAATCTGTACATCAAACCCCTGTGACACACAATTTACCTATATAACAAACCTGAACAGGTGCCCCTGAACCCAAAATAAAAGAGAAAAAAAAAAAAAAAAAGAAGAAAATGCCACCGTGGAAATGCACTGATTTTCTCTGAACCAGGTAGGTCACTGACTCCTCTTACTCCTGTTTCACAGACTCCCAAGAGCAAGGCTGGGGAAGCCACCAAAGTGGCTATTGATGTGGGCTTCCGTCACATCGATGCTGCATACTTCTACCAAAACGAGGGGGAGGTTGGAAAGGCCATTCGGGAGAAGATTGCTGATGGTACTGTGAAGAGAGAGGACATATTCTACACCACCAAGGTGAAAGTTCTGTGTGTGCAGACGCCAGAGGCCACCGCCAGCTCAGATATGTTATTTAGAAAAGCAATGTGGTCTCTGTTTGAACAACGTACTTACCTAATATTGTGAAGGCACATTGTCAAAGCATAGAAAAGGCTAGCTTTGTGCTGAAATGTGTGAAAGGCGGGACACGGCTCTTCAATGTCTCTGAGAAGCAGATATTATTCATATATAAAATGAGATTGATAATACTTACGCAATTGTTATGCGAATTAGCCAAGGCACTCTGGGGCCACTCCATTAATTCTTCAGTAGTTGTTCTCAGGACATGTCAAGTGAGGCTGGGATGTTATTCAGAAAAGGGAGCTAGACTAGAAAATACGTTTTTCTTTTTCAACTCAGCATTGCGTTTCCTGAATATGATAACATTTTCCTAGAGTGGAAAACCTTTCTTCCAATGTAAACAAAGCTTTGGATTCTGGAGATGCATCCTACGCATGCTGACCTTGATGACAGCCTGTTTTTGGAATGCACCTCTCACCAGAATTGCTTTGAGGAATTCATTGGACAGGACAGTAGATTCGATTCCCCCGTCCTGCCGTTTCTTGACTGCTCTCAGTGGATGATGCCATTAACCCCTGATATATTAAAGCAGATTTTCCTGCTCCAGCCAAGTTTTATTCACCGTTGTTTTACATTGCAGTCATTCAAGTAAATCTCAGCATCTCATCAAGGGTGTAATTTATACGGAATAACATAAACTTAGCCCTAACTCTTTTAGTTTTAGACAACAGTGTTTTGTTACTCACGTGTCAATTTCTAACTGTGATGTTTAATTTTGGTCCCCAAATGTGTGAAACCATAGCTACTTTTTTATTTCTTTTGTTCACTGCAGCTTTGGACAACTTTCTTTAGACCAGAATTAGTTCGCCCAGCCCTGGAAAGGTCACTGAAGAAACTTCAACTAGACTATGTGGATCTCTTCATTATCCACAATCCATTGGCCATGAAGGTCAGCTTTTGTTTTCCCTTCTTACGCCCCAAATGGTTCCTTCACTGTTACTGGCACCTCCATTGTCTCATTCCAGCTTGATTTCCTGGATTCTTTCTGAGAGAGGCAGGTTTGAGTGAGGTGCATAGAATTGCTAAATCATTCATGAGTCTCCTTCACGGCTGAGTGACATTGAAATTTTCTGTCTGTGCTCATCCCCCAGGAGTAAGTGAGATGCAGGTTCGATGATCTCACTTCTTCTCTGCTAGAGAGTTGAGGGCGTTGGCCTGCACTGCTTAGTGCTTGTGTTCCTGAGGGTAGGTTCTGAGTTATTAGGTTACCACAGGCTGCAGAGATACAACATGAAATCTCTACCTCTTTATGGCGAGGGTTTCTCCCACATGTACCTCTCAGTCCACAGGAAAGAGAGGTACCTGGGATGGTGCATGTGGCACAATGGGGCTCCTTTGCACTTCACTGATCCAGCCTCTCATCACAGTGGACATTGGCTGAGCACATCTGACATCCTCACTATCTGAGTTGGGTTAGCATAAATGGGCTAAACACACTGATCTATAGTTATGGTAAATGCTGTCCTCTATACCAGCCTGTCCTTCGGAAATAAAATAAATTTCAATTGTAGGGAAGGCATTCTTAGTTAAGTGTGGGGGCGTATGGGGGAAGGAGCCTGCAGGTGACTGTGGAGAAAAAGTGTTTTACTATAGTCTCTCAGATTGCTCTGATCTTTCTCTTTTCCCATGTCTTCTCTTACCACCCCACACATGCAACACACATGCACATCCACACACATCCCCATATCCACACACATGCACTCATGCACACATGTACACACAGGCACACACACATGCACACATGCATACATACATCTACCTATGCAGAGACACATGCACAGATGCACGCTCAGGTGAATAATCACAGCCTCCTGAAAGTGGTGTGGCTAAGCTCCTTAGGCACCAGAAAGGGAATTCTCATAGAAAACCTTCTTTATCCTCTGTTTTCCAGCCTGGGGAGGAATTGCTGCCCAAGGATGCCAGTGGAAACATTATTTTTGATACTGTGGACCTTCGTGACACATGGGAGGTATGTTCTGCTGCAGACACCAGGTCGCATAGTGTGGTGAGGTTGGAATCACGGGAGGAGGGGTCAGAAGAGATAGGGTTTTGCTCCAGAAGTTGTCTGACCTTAAACGTGGAACTTCTCTGCACCTCTGTGTTCTCATCTGTGAAGTGAGGGAGGGAAATGAGATGACCTCTGTGGTCCATTTTAATTTTAACTTCTATGGCTCTACATAGACATGGAAACACCGTTACCCCTGAGATCAGGTTGAGGACATGAGCCCTAAAGAGGAGTCAGCACAGAGAAGTGCAAAAGGAGTTAGTGCTTTATGCCAGGACAGAACCGCATCACAGAGGAGGGACAGCTGCAGCCCGACCCAGCAGGAGGGCAGAGGGCGCCGCCCTTATGAAGTGAATCTGCCCTTGCAAAACCTATGCCTTTTAATTATTTTTACCACTGTAGAAAGAGGTAGCAATAAACCCTTTACTAGAGGGAAAGCTGAGAGTTTCTTTTGCACTTGACTGTGGTGTAGTTTGTTAAAGAACTATTGTGTGTGTAACCCCCACATGGGCACTGAGGAAGGAGAGCCGTGCAAACCCCCGGCTCGATTAGTGCCTGAAGAATATCTCAGTTCACAGTGTCGTTACTCGGCTATTTCCTTTATATAATCCTTTATATATAATCACATATTAGTTTATGGAATTAGTGCCTGAAGTATAACTTACTGCTTACATATATCTAGCTTATATATCATACTTAGTGCTTATACCTAGCACACTTAGATCCATGTGATCTTTCTGTATAACCATATGGGTATTGTAGTCGGAGCTGTACCAACACATTTAGTCCTGATTTATAGAATCCTTCTGTATAACCATATAGTATTTGTAGTGGGAGGAATGCCTAGAGCAGTCACAGAACAGAAGCAGTACATGGGAAAACAGCCAGACCAGAACAAGAACCAAAGACCCAGGCGGTGGCATCCCTGCCTGAAAGGGCAGACGCTGTATGGCAGGCTTGGAGCAGGAGCCGCTCTTCCTGATAAAGGAGTTGTAGTACCTTGCATCCAGTTCCTGTGGAAAGTCAGCCTCAGGCCTGAGATCCTGGAAGTAACCGAGGGAGAAGAACCCCCCTGGTGTGACCAGTCACGGCGGCTGTACACCCTGTCAGTCTTATCTCGCTTCTGTGCTAGCTCAAATCATCCTCCCATAAATATCTTAGAGAAGAGCACAAGTCTGTCAGCTCCCACTGCATTGGCTTACAGTATCTTTCTATTAGAAATCCTTTGAAGTCTCCAGTCCCTAGACAAGAAGTGTTGCACACAACACCTGTTGCACACAGTCCGTCCCCTGTCTTGGTGACCTAATGGGGGTGGACCTCTTTTACATACATGACCCTCTACTACTGCGCATGGCCCAGCTCCCTACTGTGCACCGCCCACCTCTCTGCCCAGGTGGCATAATGGGGTGGCCCCCTTGCTTGTTATGTGATTACATATGCCCTATCACTAAGCCTATAGGTGATGACCTCACTTACGACCCTTCCCCCTGCTTGTATCTGATAAATACAGATGCTTCTGGACATTTGGGGCCTTCCTGTTTCTGCTTATAGGTGGTGTGGCCCCCCGAGTCTGGCTGCTCCTCTCCAGTTCTTCAGTGTCCTGTCTCTTTAATTCTCTGATCCTGCACCTCAGCACAGCATAAGGGACACCCCATGACCCTGCGGGGCCAACGGCCTTACACTATTGCATCCTAAAAGCAAAATATGTACCGTCGAAGTGAGTGGGATAGGTAAGAGGAAATTTAAAAGCAGCTTTATGTTTACGGTATTTGGTGTCCTGGGCGTGCATGTAATAGAATTAAGGAGATAAATACTTATGCAGAACAAGAAAGGGCATTTGAAATTAATTTATTCAAGTGATAAAACTGTTTGATTCATTATAATTATAATATATCATAAATCAGATTTTCGGTTTATAAAAAGTCAATGACAAATGAAATGGACAAACTGCACTAGAGGTCTACCACCCATTTCCTTCCTCTCCAGGCCCTGGAGAGGTGCAAAGACGCAAGTTTAACCAGGTCCATCGGGGTGTCCAATTTCAACCACAAACAGCTGGAGCTCATCCTCAACAAGCCAGGGCTCAAGTACAAGCCCGCCTGCAACCAGGTGAGCCCTCAGCCCACCAGGGCCTTCTCTGACTTCCTGCTCTTCACATACCTGCTGCTTAATCATGTTTCCAAGTTTCTGGCTTTATAGGGCCTGTGCAGATGTCAGTTCCTTATACAGAAATAGAAAACATCAGAGAAGAAGCAGTTTGCGTGGAGTAGAAGAGCATGACTTCGATTCCTTGGGGATGGGTGTGAAGTTCCTGTGAGGCAGCCAAGTGGAGGTGCCGAGTTGGGAGGTGGTAGCTTTGGTCTGGAGCTCAGAGAGCGGTCTAGGTGGAAATACAGATATTTGGTATCGTTGCTTTATAGATGGTGACAACTCACAGACGTGGATTAACTCTTCTAGGACAAGTTCATGGAATGAAAAGGAAGAGGCAGAAAAGTTGACCAGTGGGGATGAGGCAGAGGGGCACTGGCGAGGAGATTGAACAGGAGCTGCCAGACAGGTGGAGACAACCAGGAGAGTGTGGTGTCAGGAGCCAAAGGAAGGGTGTTGACGTGGCTTGAGTCACACATGGGTGGATCCTACTGTGAACAAACACTCCGATAGGGAAGGATAAGGGTGTCTGGATTTAGTGGCATGGAGGTTATGGGAAGCCATGCAGTGCATGTTCCAGAGTGGTGAGCACTAAAGCCAGATCAGAGGAAAGGAGTGGGAAGGAGGAGGTATATAAATCATAATTAAAACACATGATTTTTAAAGAAACATCCAATACAGCCAAATATCAAACATTATTTGTGACATTGTAAAATTTAAAGCTTTGTTTAGACCATTTTGATAGTTACACAAAAAGCAGTTCAAATATTTACACTCTTAGTTTTATATCTTTAGGGATATTTGTGGAAAATCAAAACATTAAAAAACCCATTAAAACATTAAAAATTATATATATATTCTCTCTATATATAGAATATATATATAATTTCTAAAACCAGATGATTATATGTATACAAATTTATTAACCACAAAAAATGGGTCTCTGTTAAAGATTCTTGAAGATTGAGACACAAAATAACTCAGGAGGAGCCAAATCAGGACTGTAAAGTGAATGACTAATGATTTTTCTGTCAAAATTCTTGTAAAATTGCCTTTGCTTGATGAAAAAAATGAGTAGGAGTATTGACGTGGTAGAAAAGCATCTTTGGTGAAGATTTTTGGGGTGACTTTTGTACTAAAACTTTGGCTAATTTTCTCAAAACAGTTTTTATTATTCTTTAGGCCTCCAGAAAGTCAATAAGCAAAATGTCCTGAGCATCCCAAAAAACTTGCTATGACCTTTTATTCTTGACGAATCTCCTTTTGCTTTGGCTGGACCATTTCCACATCTTGGTAGCCATTGCTTTGATTTTGCTTTGCCTGCAAGATTGTACTGGCAAAGGCATGTTTCATTTCATTTTACAATTCTGTGAAGCTGCTTCAGGATCTTGATCTCACTTATTTAAAATTTGCTTTGAAAGCTTTGCTCCTGCCTGTAGCTGATCTGGCCATAACCATTTTTTCACCCATGAATTGGAAAGTTCA